CCGTAGTAGAAACGAGATCGGTAGCACTGACTAACAAACAAACAAATTATAGTAATGAAGTAATTTCATCACCATTGGATGTTTAACGCAAAAAGGTATATGCTGCTAAAATTCTCAATTCCTGCAAATTAATTTTCTATGTCAATCAAAATTTTTTTTTTCTATGTCAATCAAATTTTTTCTCCATGTCATGAAAAATCTCTTTATCGATTAATTTAAAACAACGAAAAAAAAAAGAAAGAAATTTCATTTCACTGACAACGACATTGAGATTGTTCTTTAGTTGTCTTTAGATTATTAAACCTTTTTCTTTCCGGACAGCGGTGGTCTTTTTTCAAGAGGCGAAAACAAAGAACCATTAAGAGTTAAACACTTCTGTCATACGTATAAATTCACCGGTTCTGAGATACTAAAATTGTAAAAATGGAAGAAAAAAACAGAAATCGAATAAACCAATCAGGTAGATAATGATTACGCGGAAGGAAATAAATAAAACCATTCTATTCCTTTACCATCGTTATTTCTTTTCAAGAAATTGGAACATTTGCTGCAGTTAATCCTTTCAGGCCAACCAAAACAGTACTACTGGCAAGTGCACTACGTAAAAGCGCATTTTCACGACGCAGCTGTCCATTCTGGCTAAGTAATAATTCTTTTTCACGCCGGAATTCTGTAACCAGTAATTTAGCAACCGATAAAACGGGTTCCTTCAATGTCTGATCCAACAATCTCTCCAATGACGTTCCTGCAAAATAATTAATCCGTCCTTTACTTCCTTTCATCATATCATATGCTTTTTGCGATTCCTTTTCTTTTCTTCTTTTTCTAACGAACATAATCATTTTTCAAAAATCTTTTTACAAATTTTAAAAAGAAACACAGATATTGTTCAAACATGATACCTGTTTTGCTTATCACAGATCCTGTAATATCAGAATTGATAGTAGATGATATTGGAGTACTTTTGTTGGAAAAACCTTCATCAGTGATGACTGCATGTTGTCGCATATCAGATTTACTGTTATCAATAATTGGTACAGATGAATGCGCAAATGTATGCGTCTCATAAACTGGTTTCCATCGAATATCCGATGAAATATTGGAAGAAGGATTTGTAAGGATAGGTAGTCTATATGGTTCCGCTAGAGGTAGTTGTGAAGTAACAAATTGTAGTGCAAGAAGTGATTGCAAATTAGGACTTATCAATGGTGTTCCAGATGATTGACCGGTATAACAACCGTTTGCATCAATCACTGGTACCTGTAAGGGAAGAAATGATGATTCCTGAGTTACCGTAGTTGAAGGAGCTGTTGATGTGGCAGCGGTTAAAGCTGTTGCTGCAATAGCTGTCGTTTGAGCAGCAGTACAAAGTTTCAAGATGTGCTCATTGATTTCATTTAATGATTGCATTGAAGTAGAAACTACTGGATCAACACTGATTCCAACTTTTGCTTCAGCTCCAACTTCACTTTTACCTCCGGATTTTGTTGATGTTAAATTAGTCAATTTTGAGCAACTACCGCTTTCAACTGTCTGAAAAAATTGAAAATATAAAAAGACACAAAATGAGAGATTGAAAACAATTTTATTCCAAATTTTCATCATTTTTAAATCTCTAATTCCCTCTAATTCTATCAATTTTTACGTAAAAAAATTACAGAAGTATAACAATCAAAGCACCACTGAAACATTCACTCCTTATTTTCCGCTAATCACATAAGCTACTTATATTAAAATTTTATGATAAAATTTCATTAGTGATCAATGGTCAACAATGATCAGTGTATATCGATATTTTTTTTTTTTGGAAAAAGGGGTAGTATCAAGATATTATTCCTCAAGCTAATTTTCCTTCCAGATTCACAATCATTTTCGAATATCAGACTGATTTCATTAACTATCTGTTTGCCCCTTTTCTATTATTTAATTCTAGCCAAATTATTGGTTTTGAAATTTCAGATGGAACATCATATCAGACTAGCAACGCCATCATTATGTTTTAATTCTATCGAAACTAATTTGCTCATATCTACCAGACAAGAAAAAAGATGGGTATTATCAGATTAATACTAATAACTACCTGTTTACTCTATCCTATCATTTAAATTTCGCCAAATCATTAATTTTGAAAATTTAAATAGCATTATTATTTTATTGCGCTAGCAACCAACCAACCAATCAGCCAAATAACCTATCATCAATGCTTTAACCCTATCCATATCAAATATGTCAGCTCACGTTGTATTTGCTCTTTTTCTTAATCTGAATATGCTATAATTTGCTTTTTTTTTTATTATTATAAAGTATCGTGCATGAAAAGAATGAAGTGAAAAAAGGTTAAAAAAAAAAAGAAAAGATAGAAATGAACATATACTTATTGCAATACTTCTTCCTTCCCTCGAAATCTTTGATTATATATTTGCCTTATTTTAAAAAAGCCCACCTAACTAATTTAAAATCTTCACATCCTTCTTTACCTTATACTGAATAAATCTTCCTCATTTTAATGATAACACACATCTTTCCCTTTTCTTTTCTTTTGCTCTTTTTTTTTTCCTTCTCCCTTTCTAACGTTCATCATTTAAATAAATTTCCACATCTTCTAATCAACCAATTTCCCTTTACCTCCGCTTCGCATCTGTCGTTTTCTAAATTGCTTGTGCCAAGTGTTGCTTCTAAGAAAAAAAAAAAGAAAGAAAGGAAGAAAAAGAGTGAAGAAAAAAACAATAAGATTCATTATTTTAGTTTTAGAATGAGATAAAGGAAAAATTTACATGATGAAATAATTTATTTCATAGAATGGAATATCATGGAAGTAAAATTTCCCGAATAGTCAGAAAATTATAACTCTCTGAAAAATTCCAAAAAATACAACAATTCCTATGGGATATTGGAAAATTTACAATGAAATGAACAGAAAAAAAATTATCAAAATTCATAGAAAAAGTCAAAACAAAAAAAAAAAAAAAAAGAATCACATATGAGAGAAAATCCTCTTTCACTATTTATCATAACCTGATTACTTGTCAAAAACTAATGATTATACAAAAAAATCAATCATTGATGAAAGTTTACGAATAAAAACGAATTGTGATTTTTCACTAAATCATTACAAATGGTAAGTCGGTATTTTTTCTAATACAAAAATATAATTATAATATACTGGTTATGGCTTAAAATATTACTCTTTCCCATACAATCATATTCAAATTAACCAACAAAATAAACAGTCCTTTTTATGATATATAAATATTGCTTTATTAATTAAAATATTTCAAATCTAATTTAAATATTTGATGATAATTTAATCAAATTAAAATATTTATTCCTACAATAATAACAACAATGACATTGACTAATTCTTTCAATCTTCCGTCTTTGCTATAAAATTATCCAAGTCAATAACAATAATTATATTCCTTTTCTTTTCATCATTTCTACAAATAAAGTCCCTGCAATAAGAAAGCAATTGTAATCGTAGTAATGAAAATCGTAATGATATTGATGATGATGATGATGATGATGATGATGATGATATTGATGATGATGATATTGATGATGATGATGATGATGATATTGATGATGATGATGATGATGATGATTAGTGTAAATTCTTCGTAATTCATTTGCTCCATCCATTTGAATTAATGTTAATGCTCAACGTAGTACCAATCTTGTACTTTACAGTTGCTTGCTAAGTTTATAAATTTGCTTAGTTGTTCAGTTCAGCATACGAATGTGTATTCTTTTAGTCTTTAGGAATCACATTTCTATTTCTACACATTATAATGATGCTAAATGACACCAATCTAACCTTCTGTTCAATTCATTCTTAATTTTGACACAACAAAGAGATATCAGTACGGAATGGAAGAATGAGGAAAAACTAATTTTGCACTTTTATTTTTGCTTACTTTTCCTTTTTTTTTTTCTTTAACATTATTTGCTAACTAACTTATTTACTTCTCCACTAAAACTATTTAATATTTATCAAAAAAACTTCAAATAAAGCAAAAAAAAAAAAAACGATCAATTTTCATGAACTTTTCAAATGCTGTTAGATATATCTATCAATGAATAATAAAAAGAAAGAGAGATGAAAAAGAATGGTAAGAAAAAAAAAAGAGCTATTTAAAACGCATGCAAGAATGAAGTGCAAAGTACGAAAAACCAGTCTAATTTTCTATCACAACAACTCCTCTCTATCATCCATCCTATCTCTTTTTCCTCCTATTTTCGTTCATTTTTCTTATCCTCTTTCCTTCTCTTTCTCTTTCCTCTTTTGCTTTTCAAATTTTCATTTTCATTCGATAAGGAAACAATATGCTGATGCTGATGATGATGATGATGATGATGATGATGGAAATAGAAAGTGTAAACAATTCTGTTATCAAATTGTACAGCGTCCCATCGTCTGTTATCAGCGAACAGATAGGAATGAATAATGGATGGAAATGTTTCCCCAATGATAATTTCAATCACTATACCCTTCTAAATATATGCATTTTGTAAAATTAATCGTGTATCATAAAATAAGATGGATGCATAATATTCTTTTTTTTTTTAAACTAAATAGTAATTTCCTAAATCATATAAAGACAGTTTAAAAATTTTATTGAATTCAAGAGAGATTTTCTTCTTATCTCTTAATTATAGATGTTGAAATTGAAGTATTTTATGGTAAAAAAAAGAATGGGAATAAAAAGTATTATCGTATAGAGAGGGTCAATTAGTCTATATCCATTTTATCATCGTTATTGCTAATGAGAATGGTTGATTATTAGTGGTAAATGACGACAATCAACGATCAATGATCAATGACCGATGATCAATGATCAGCAACGACAGGGATGACCAATAAGACGACTAGTTGCTTTCAACCAATTCGAAAAATTCAATATTTCTTCCCTACTATACACGAATTGCAAGGTGCATAAAATGCAAAAAGATACATTATGATTCAAATAATTTTCCTAATTAATTATAATTTTTTTTTTAAATTAAACGTAAAGTAGCAAATTTTAAACTAACACTAACGAATTATCATAATAATATTAAATTCAAATTTAAATCAATACAAATAAAGTTTTTTTTTTTTTTTTTAAATCAAAAATTTTCAAATTAAAACATTACCGCAAAAGCATATGAAGCGGAACGTTTGCCAAGACGTATTGGTGGATATTTGTATAATTCAAGTTTTTGCAACGCTTTCAAATCATCCTCGTATGATTCTGGTAAATGTAAATAATGTCGCCAATTGGATGAATCAAAACCCCAATGGCATATACGACGAATTTGTTGAATGGAATGTGAATGTGAGACAAATTTTTCACCAGTAAAAAGTAATTTACATTGGCTACATTCAATTTGTTCATCGGTATCTAACATTGGTATTAATGTACCGGTACAACCATCAAAGCAATCATGCATAACTGGTACAGCATCCATAATACTATACGAATTAATATCTGTCGTTAAACGATAACCATTACATTGTGGTAATAATTTAGCAACCAATCGTTCTGCATCACTTTTTGTTACCAAACCACAACTATCAGCTGTCATTGGCATAACACCAGCTAATTTTAATGTATCCAATTGTTGTTGACTTGCAACCGATATATGAATATTTAAATCAACAAATAATTCATTGATATCATTAATTGCAACACCACGTAATACAACGCTTATTATTTGTGGGAAGCATAAACGGCATTCACCACCAATAACAAAGCAATAAATTAGATGACCATTTAAACGAGTACTTTTAAGTGATGATGAAATATGATCAGATGGTAATAGTAATGGACTTGGCTGAATTGGTAATACACCACGGAAACGTGATGATAATTCATCAAGTAAAATATCATCTGTTGTTGATGGTAATTGAGCAATCGAATCCATCAATATATTATTATTAT